ATAATTCTTAATTTCTCTCTGAATGAATGAACAGCTATGATTGACTGAGAAAAAAGCGAGATGACTTAAAAGACAGGCTAGAAATACATTAGATAAATAACTGGTAGTAATGTATTTCTGGCCTTTTAAGTAATATACAATTTAAATGGAAAATGTGTGATTCTAATGCAGAGGAAGTGTGAAGTGAAGTGAGCAGGAGAGGAGAGTGACTTGGAATAATAACATGGCACAACAACAACTTTCCCTAAACTGACCTTTCCTCAAGACTTTTCCAGGCCATTAGGCTGATGCTATCATCTAATATTCATTGGCAGTCACCGATGTTCATATGTCTCAAATGGACCTACTGAGGTTGACATCTTATCTGTCCCTTCCCATCATAGGAAAAATTGGTTTTCAGCTAGGGCCTTCCTACTGCAATTAATTTTGCAACAACCACACAACTATAAACAGCATTTTGAGATTTTTTTCTAATCATACCCATCACACTTTTCCCTCTCAGAGTAAGCAACATTATACAGAGTAAAGAAAAGGAGTAAGAAATAGTAAGTAGTGAACAAAACAATAATAGTAATAGTAATAGTAATAATAATAATAATAATAATACTGTAAAACATGAGGTTGAAATGAAATGAAATGAAATGAAATATAATTAAATCTATTACACCAATTTCATTCATTAGATCTCTCCGTACTTTTATATCCTTGCCAAACATTTTTGCTTCTACCATGTCCACACCACATGCACAATTCATATTGCCCTTTGCTTCTTAAACTTCTCATTACTTTTTTGGGCATGATTTCATTAATTTCCTGCAACAACAGCTTCCACTTTTCTCAGTCCAGTCATTCTTCCTTCATATATTTGTTCTGCAGTTGGGTTCTTGTTCTTTTTTTCTGTACAATAAAACCACTTCAATGTACTTATTTCATCCTTGTCACTCCCTTTTGACCAGTCCACATTTCTTTATCATCCATTCATTCTTGGCCTTGTCTCTTCTTGATTTACTGCTCACACTTCTTAAGTACCCTATCCTCACATACGTTTATTTTATGTTTCTCCTGACATACACAATTCTTACTTTGATATAACAAAATAGCACAAATACACTCTTATAAACAGCCATTTTTGCTTCTTTTCACAAATGTTCATTCCTCACAACATAGTACCCACTATCTTTCTACTAGCATTCCCGTATCTTAATTTTGTTTGTTTTCCCATTGTTGGTAAACATTCTACCAAAGTACACAAATTCATCTATGCCATCTAGTTTTTTTGCTATTTATGTATGATTTGTAATAATTTATTCTAATTTCCCTGTGAAACACAACTACCTTGGTCTTCAGTATATTTAATTTTCAGAACCCTGCTCCTGGTTGTATTGTACAAGCTTTCTAAAATTAGCCATAAATCATTCAACTTCTCAGCCAACAACATGGCCTCATCCACATAGCAAAGTACCAATACATTCACATCCCCAAACAGCAACCTTTAACATTAAATTTATTAAATTTCATTATTAACTAATTAATGTTTAGTTTAGTTTAATTTAGTTTAGTTGTCACTCAACTCTATTATGTTTATGGTTGGCATACAGTACAATATAAAAAATGTAAAATAAAACAATCTACACAATAAAATAATACAAAAATAATTTCTGGAGAAAACCACTATCTTGTTAATTAAACAACAAACAATAGGCTCACCACCCAGTCTAGTCCAAGGCCTGGGGAAAGAACCAGATCTGACTCAGCTAAATGAAGTCAGAGTGGGAACCATACAAATTTCTGGGGCAATGTCATTGCAGAGCGCAAGTGCTATGACACAGAAATCCCACATCCTGGTTCCCATCAGGTGGCATTGCATAATTGATGGGACTTGGCACATGCCAACTCTTCTGAACCATCTTGGGCAAACAGCAAGTATAGAAGGCCAGGCAGTGTCTGAATTAGAGACTGTCTTCCAAGCCAGAATACTGCTGCCCACAGGCTGCCACCTAGGAGGTCCATGTAATGTGCTAACACAACTCAGGATACATTATTCCTTTCTTCTAAATAAACAAATGTTGATTCTTTCTTGGTTTTTCTCTTTATCCAATAATGACTCTATATAAAACTGAGAGGGGTTAAAAACAGATGTGGAAGAAAAATGGAAATTATTGTAGCTAGGCAAAATGCCATGCATTCCTTACCTTATCCAAATCACAAATCAAGGCATTGATATCAGCTTGTTGGCTGCAATTTGGGTATAACTTATTAGACACCCAGATGATTTTTTGCATTCCACTCAAGGTCAGAAGTGGTATCACCTTCAGTGGAACGTTCCTCGTATCTATTTTACCCTTTCCTAGTCCCTGAGGGTAAAATAAGCAGTTTGTTAATGTTCCTGGTATCTATATTTGTATGCTTTTCATTTCCACACCCACACACACACACACACACACAAATGTTCTGTTCAGGAGATATAAAATAATTTTAAATGAATACCGTAAGATGATTTTCTTTTTAAACTTGACAAAAGCAAAGCTCTTTCTCCTCTCTTTTTTATTTTTTATTTTTTTCTGTTCTGGCATATTGTTGCTTAGCATTTTGTCCAAACTCAAATAAGACATGGTCAAAACAAAACGGAAAGGACAATGATCCTGAATTCTGGATAAGATAAAACCAAATCCCAAGCAACTATAACAAATAAGTGAATTAATGTTAATAATAGTCCAATATGCTATATTACATGCAATAGTGTCACACTGACATGAGCCAGTGAAGTCTTTGATTATTGTAATGCTTATTCAGAGCTTTAACTAATTTAATAAATGCCCAAAGAATGTCCTCATTAGCATTCATTACATTTCAATAGTGTGGGAATGACGAGCTGCTTAAGATGCTATCAAAGAGAAACCCTGATCATTTTACCCACATAGGTTCTGGCACATCTCTACTGCTCCCCCAGTTACACTCACTGTGTAGGAACTAATGATCAGAACTCCAGTTCCTCACAGTTGACATTTACAACGGTGTAACCATTTGCAGGTTCATTAGAGTACAATATTTGTGCTGGAGGGGGAGGGCGCCTAGTTCCCCTGCTCTCTTCCTCTGTAATCAGTAAGTATGTATTAATGGTGACCTTGTTTTACATTTCAGAGTAGTCATGTCAATATGCCATGGGACATGAGTCAAATTATTTTCCTCCTTAATCTATTGTTCTGCTTTCATGGTTGTCTTTTTCATCACATATTTTCTACTCTGCTACCAATCCCAGAGTGCAAAGCTTATCATGAGAAATGCCCCAGGAGTTCAGCTGTAGATGATGCAGAATAGAAGGGAAAACTAGCAAAGGCAGCACCTTAGATTGCTGCCTTAGTGGTTGCCTCCACAATAAGGCCCTTTACAACACAACTCTTTACTATTCAGAAGGGAAGCCTATTGAATTCAGTGGAACTTTCTCTCAGGTAAAGAGGTCACAGTTTGTAGGTCTTGAGGAATCAAAGCTGTGTTATGTGGAGTCCTTGAGGTTCTCTGAGCTTGGTTCTTTTCTTGCAATCGTTTCATTACCCGGCTAGGTAACGTCTTCAGTGCTAAAATGGGATGGGGTTTGCTCTCTATTTATGTGCTGTGGCCTGCCTTGCCAGTGCTGGTGGGAGTGGGGGTTTGGATT